TATGTTTTCTAAGTGTTGTAAAGATTTGGAGAGTTTTAGAGTTACAAGATCATCAAGTCGCTTGGAAAGAAATAAAATTTCATGCAACTCAGAAAGTCAGTTATTATGTTAACAGAAAAAGGTGTGTGTGTGTGTGGTGTGTGTGTGTGTATCATATTATACGTCAGTAAGAGATGTAGCATACTTTAAAAAAGAATTTTATCTTCAGAATCCAGAGTTTTGTTTCAAAACTTCAGGTGGGTGTAGATTTTCTTAAATGTGTGTTTGAAACCTCGGATGTCTGAACTTCCCTACACAAGAAGGAAAGATTTGTTGTTCTATGGTAATGAAATACCAGATTTCTTCTAGCCTTAACTGATTCTGAAATAATTTTATGTATTATCCCATCCCCAAACATGCCAAGTATATATCTGATTTCTCTAATCATTCTTCTCTCGGTGAAAACCGAGATCTTTCAAATACGAAGGTGTCCTATTTGGTTTTATTAAGAATCTCATGATAGGCAGTCGCTCATAATACCCAATCAAGGATGAGTAAAATATGCCAATGATGTTTCAGTACATGTTAAATTCCTTATATTTTGAGAGACAGTTAACAAAAGGGTAGAAGCAAATGTTTCCCATTTAAGATGACTAGAAAATGCTTTCTTCACAACAATAAATAAATGCAAAGAGCATTCAGTATATCTTAAATATCTCGTCTAGTCAATCTCATTACGACAGTGTTGGAATCTGCTAATTTCAGTAGGTTATTGAATTTGGGGATATCTTTATCTCTTTATAATTTTCACTCAATGAAATGTAATTATGGTCAGTGTTCTTTGTGTTCCTTCCCATTCAGAAACATGCATATTTCTAAAATTCTTAATGTCTATGAGGAATGAGTCAATAGCTGTCTATTTCAGGTGCCCCTGAAGAGCTAAGTATTTATGGAATAAATAGCCTACTACTACCACCCCTACCTCCTAGTGAGATTATATAATAAAACCAATGAGCTAGAATTAACAGATTTACTGTCAATATTTTCCTCTCAGTTGATGAAGTTGGCATTTTTTTAAAGAATGTAATTGTCTATAATTTTGACCATTATTACTCCCATGTACTATTTTGGGAGGCTTCTTTTCTGATGAGAGAAAGGGCCTGTGAAATACCTTCTCCAAAGTTATTCCCAGGTGGAAGGGAATTAGCTCCAGAATCCTGGAAAATGATGTCCTGTGGATGCAAAGCCATGTTACAGACCCTTTAGTCCAGATCAATAACATCTATCAACTTGAGGACATGACATAATTTTATATTTTCACACTGTCTCTGCAAATTTATATACCAGTGAGAGTCTATGGAGTTCTCATAGCATATTAATGGGTATTTTTATCAAAGAGGATTTCTCAGCACTTTAGTGCATAGGTAGAGATGATGGCATTATTTGAAAACAGTGTGTTCCCAAGGTTTGCAGAGCAAAGAACTGGAACTGGGGCTGCCCAGAGCTCCTCGGAAGCAGCTCACATTTAGGTGATATGGACACCTGAGACAAATTCAAAGCCCCCATTACTTGGCAATTAGTTCAGTTATGGGCCAGAAGGGGTTGGTTTAGTATACTAAATCGCAAATTTGTCATTGACTGCCCTTCTCATCATTCTTTTGCCTAGCTATTTGCTGTGATGACCTAGCTTTTAAGAAGCTATTGATGATTTTAACCCAGTTGAAAGCATAGCCCGATTGGAACCGGGACCATTAAGCAATAGAGGTGAGGGGGTAAATAATATCCTGTTTTCATATCATTTTATTTTCCTTGAAAACTCCATAATTATACTTTAATAGCAAAGTCCCGATTTTGACAGAGGACTGTTTTCCACTGTGTCATGGAAATTCATTAATTTAATTTCTTCTTAATTTTATATTAAGAGGATTTTCTTTGAAGTGTAAGTGGCACTGAAAAAAAGTGAGGAGGCCCGACATGAAGAATACATTCTAGAATACATGCTATAAATATAAAAATTAGAATGAAATTAAGCAATTATGTTAAAGAACAGCTTAGTGACCCTCTGCTCCTGATCTGTAATATGCCGTGGTCAATATCTTTTTCTGTGTCAGTGGGAGCTCATTAAATGTAAATTCTGCAGACTAACTGAGCCATGCCATATTAGTGCTTGCCAAAGCTTGACATTTTTAATACATTAATAATATGTCTGTAATGTAATGGAAAACTATTAATCACAACTGGTTATGTGCCAGAAATTTAAGCTATAATTGGCTGCTTCTTGTCAAGAATGTCTGTCGCACAGTCCTGCAACTGCCTAATATTCAAATATCTTGCACTCCTCTGCATTTTTCCTTGTCAGTTCTCTAAATTCGATCAATGGTGTAGTCCATAATTCTGTGTAATGACCATTATTATAATTCTGCTATACTTTAATGAGAATTCATTATATTGGGATTGCTGTTGTGTCAAGAACTAGTAACAGGTTCACATACATTTCCTTAGTGTCCAAATTTTTCACGTACATCTAACTGGTGGCCATCCTTTATTCTGTGGTTGCAGTCAGGCAAAATGTGGATAAAGACAGAGTTATGAAGAATAAACAGATTAGGGGATAACATTTACTGGTTAAAAAAAAGTGAAGGTTAATCTCTGGGAGCATTCAAATATATACTTAGGGTCACATTTTAAAAACAGTATTAGAATTAACTCCTAATTTTCACTCAATTCAAACTCAGAGCAGTTCATCCCTGGTCTTCAAGATTATATTGTCCTTGATAAAGAAGTTGCTATGTATTTGAACCTAAGAATTGAAGTTAATTATTTCTAGTCTAATAGATTTTACACTTCTTCTGTTGTCATGCCCAGCTCCCCCATACTCCATGAAAGTGTTTGTTCTTGTTATAATGAAGTAGTAAACACAGTTGAAAAATGCATCTAGAAAATGTGCATTTGTATTATTTTAACACCTTTACAGATTATTAAGGCTGAGTAGCCACAACACATGCTTCCCTGTGATTTCTTTCCTTTTAGCTTAAGATATCAAAATGTGCCCAACACATCTATATGTCATAAGGAGGAGGCAGATTCAAATCTGCAGTTTCTACATGTTTAGACAAACTGCTAATTATTGCTTCATAAGAACTCAAATATTCAACACTTTTCCTAATAGAAAATATCACAAATTGGAGCTGTATGATAACATTTTATGAATTGAATATAATGAAAATTGCACTTGCATCCATAAAGCAATTATTATAAATTACTTTGCTATGGAAACACTATTCAACCATCCGTTGGCATTTCATAGTCTCTGTGGCTGAGTTCATTTTAAGATTTAAATATATTGAATTCCTTTTATAATATTGTTTGAAGATAGCAAACTTCCCTATTTAAACTGCCTAATGTGAATTAAAGGGTCTATGATGGTAGTTTCTAAACTGCAGGGTTTTTGGCCTTTTTCAGTTGTTTAAAAAACAGTTACTGGGACTCTGACACTATGAACCAACTAATTACGCAAATACCTCTTTTTTACAGCTGGATTCCAAATATTATTGTTTGGTTAGACTTGGACAGTGGTTTCTAAAGAGAAAAGTTGCCAGTTCACCTCACCAATGACTAGTATCCGTATTTGTGGGGGCTGCATTATCAGTTAACCCAAAGAACTGTTAAACAGTAATTTTTATTTTCTCTTAGAATTAGTGCCATATTATTCTGCTTCATGGCCTATTAACTCACCCTCAGCTATTTTTATGTGTGCATTTTAAATTGTGCATTTTACTACAGAGCTTTTAGTTTTAAAGCAGCGTATAATATTCGCCTTTGGGACAAATTCTCTTCTTCTGTTACAGAAAGTAAGTGCAAATGCAGATGTAATGGCTATAAAAAGATGTAAGAAAATAGAAGAGTCTTGTGAAAAGAAAATTTGCTCCTTTGGTTTTATTTCTGAGTATTTTTTTTTTTTTTCAGAAGAGCCAAGTTATCTTTATCACTAAATGCAACTAAACAAAAGAGGCTAAATTCTTCCAATATAATGAGCAAATCCAAAGGGACAGACTTGTGCCAACAATGCTGGTTTTCACTCCAGCTAACAAAAGCTAAGAAATGTACAAGGAATTTAGGGATTTTTAGGGTCTCTTTGCCAATAGACAAAAGGCATAGAAGTAGTTGTCACTTTTTTGTCATTGTTATAAAAGCATTCATTTCCCCCATTGTTCTCCTGGAAGATTTTCTAGCCCTGCAATCCATGAGAAATGTTTAAATCTAGCTGCTTGCTCTCAGTTTTGTCAAGATGGAAATATAATTTTTGAAGCGAGAACCTGTAGCTCACCTGGGACATGCACATCTGTCTTTGTTATGGAAGAGTTAAATCCTTCATATCAAAATTCTCCCCAATGTGAATGATTTCTGTGGTTTGTTCATTCTAGCAAAGCAGCGGAGTAAAGGTTATCCATATTACACCAATTTGCTTTATATTGCATCAAACCTCCCAAATGTCAACATATCATACGGTTTGTAATGCATTGATTCTGGGGCAATAACTCTTACTCTCATTGTTTCTTAAAGGGTGTTGGTGCCAGAAGGAAAGAATGATTGATGAGAAACAGACACCCGGCTATAGACACTCATCCTTTTGCTTCAGATACTGATACCCTAGTGCGTCTGAGCATCCTTTGTGAGCAGTGAGCACTGAGGATCACCCAGGGTTATCGGATGTACAACAGGAGAGCCATCACTTTGCTAAATCATTCTCTGCCACTGGACATCTTTTACAAAAACCAAACCAGACCCGAGTCTAATAGGTATGTTCTAGGACAACGAAAAAGCTGCAAGTTGTTGTCAACGCCTAACACACAAGTATGTTAGGCTTCCACCAAAGTCCTCAATATACCTGAACACGCACAATATCGACCCTTCACTTTTAAATTTGGAATCTATAGACATATATGTATATGTAAAATAGACATAGCTCACAGATAACCAAACCCTGCTTTATTACTGCGAGGATTGCCAAGAATTTAGAGATGTATTTGTCAAGATTCCTGTCAATTCATGCCCTTTGGGTTACAGTGTCCTCAGTGATGCAACCCTACCCTTTGGTATGGGGACATTATGACGTGTGTAAGACTCAGATTTACACAGAAGAAGGGAAAGTTTGGGATTACATGGCCTGTCAGCCGGAATCCACGGACATGACCAAGTATCTCAAAGTAAAACTGGATCCTCCGGACATTACCTGTGGAGACCCTCCCGAGACGTTCTGTGCAATGGTGAGGCAACCCTTTTGAATAGTCTATTTCATATTAAGTGGGAGTGTGTCATATATGTGTACAAATGTGGTAAGGGTAAAGACTCGACTCATGCAATGAGCTGAATCTGTGCGTGGCAGATCTGCGCTGACAGGTTCGCTTCCTTCACAATGGAGGCTGGCTTGCAGGACCTGGAATTACAAGTCACAGTGTGATTGATGCACTGGAATGTACCTTCTGCCTTCCTACAAACCAAAGCTTCCACTGAGACAGGTGTACTATATATAAATTATAAAAGAAAAAGTTCAGCTGAAGGTTAAATTTCAGATTGGAGTCTGGGAATATGACTAGGTCATATGCATCATGGTAAAGGATAAAATCCATTGGTAAACCGACTTTAAAAACACAAAGGTTTCTTCACATACCTGTATAAGGCCAGCCCCGAATTTCATAGTTCAAGGCCAGATTAGAGTTCATGGTTGTCCTCATGTGGACACTGCTGTGATGTGGAAGTCCTTGGTTAGGAGAACAGTGAGAAGAGAAGCAAAGGAGAGAGGAGCTAACGCCTCCAGAAAAGTCTCATTTGTCAACTCATGCAGGCCCTTATTTTCAAGGGTCATGGTTTTCTATGGGTGTTTTAAATATGACTGTTGGAATGTTGGAAACGTATTTGCTGGAAAGTAATGACCCGGGCATACAAATTCAGATACCATCCTTTGATAAGCCGAATTACAGAATTCCTTGTTTTTGTGGTATACATAAGTCTTTTCCTGGGTGGAGAGTTAAATCCTAGGTGAAAAGATAACATTGGAGTGATGCATTGAATTTTCACTTAGGACGTGGCTGAAAGTTTACCTATTAAGGTATTAATAAAGAGTTTGGTGATTAACATGATGTAAATCAAAGTGCTAAAGAATTCAGACAGTATGTTCATTCGGTTTATGTCATTGTTGTTTGTTTTTTTTTTTTATTATAGGTGGTCTTTATTTGATACTGGAATTGTGATCCCATTTCTCTCCACAGAACAGATATAATCATATGGCAGATTTTAATAGTATTCTTACCTGACTTTATTATCTTGAACCTGACCTGGCATTTTCAGCATAGTGAAACTATTAATCAAAGTAGCATCTGTTCACAGTCCCCAGTGAGTTAAATTAGCATAAGATCATCTTAGACCTAGCACTGTGGAAAAGGTTTTGTAACAGGAAACAATTTTGAGCAATAAAGAGTGTTTTTACCTAAAAGCTAACGGCTTGCCATTTTTCAGAAGTGCCTTTGGGGACTGGTTTGAATTATGGTCTAAACTTGATTTTGTGGAGAGTGAGAAAAAGAGCTTGCCTATTAGGTGTCACTATGACTAAAGTGCCCTGAAAGACTAAATATTTCAAAGAGAGGACCCGTCTTTCTGGGAAACAGGTATGTGCTTTGCAAAAAAAAAAAAAAAAAAAAAGCTACATTTTAGAAACCAGAAACTTCCAGAAGAGGAGTTTATTCCAACACATTAGCAAAACTATAGTAAGTCTGTAAAAGAGCAGGGACGTTTGTTGGCTTTATAGTATCTGTTTGATAATCTCTCATAAAAGTTTAAATTTAAAATCTCATTGCAAATCTGGGGTGCAATTGCTGTGCAGGTGATAGGTCGTGGAGTCTTCCACTCCTCACAGCAAGAGAATGAATTCTGGGCCAGCTCTTCATATTATGAAGAACACTCTAGCTCTATCTATTGGCTTACATGACACTTGTAGCAATATGCCTCTTCTGGAATTGTTTAATAATTGACGGATCTAAGTAAAATAGCAGATCTCCTTGTTCAGAGTGCCATTTCCACTCCCATCAGCCCAGTGTGATGTGTTCAGCCTGTGCTTTAAATGCACAGCTTTCTCGATCTCAGCCCCAGGCAAGAGAACGCTAGCTGAGCCCTGCTCCTGTCCTCATGGGGAAGGGTTTAATTGGTGTCTTCAGCGTGCCTCTCTTATCATGAGTGGGAAAGGGCACATTACAGAACTTCTCATGCCCGCCTCTCATGGGGACATGGTCTAAAGTCCTTAAACAAGTCAGTTCCCTCCCAGTTCACTAGCTATGTGATGTTAGAGACCAAAAGAGAAAAAAGAATTAAAATTATATCCTTCAGTTTTCTCAAGTATAGTAACATGAATACTTTATACGTTTACCCCCAAATCCTTTTGAAAGGCTACCTCTTAGTCTGATGCAGATATTTGGAGGCCTTGGTGCATTTAAGCTTGTCACTGAGCAGAATTGTTTTCCAAGGGAGAGTGTAAGATTTGTGGGATGTTACCTATCAGTGCTTAATTTGGACTCCTCAATATGCATATGATTGGCATAGCAGATTTAATAACCCATCCTTTAAACGCAGACTTTGGGACTATTTGTAGGCATATTATATGCCAAGTCAACGATAATGGCCTAATACAGCAGCACTTCTTCTCTGTAGTTTTGGATTTTCCATAAAACTCTTTAGTGTAAGGGTTCCTGACACAAGGCTGTAAAGCTGTCTCAGGATGCTGTCATATCAGACCCATGTAGGTGCTCCTTAGCCCAAGGTCTAATGGGAATCCATAAAGTCATTTGTGTTAACGACTTTCTCGTTCTTTCCTCCTTGACACACGCATCCATACCTGCTCCCTCGGAGTCGTTATGGCCCATTACATCAGTGTTGCTGCCACATAAGCACAATCACTACTTAGCCCTTATATGTAAATGTTTGCTGCAAAATGGTTTCAGAAATCACCTACTCCGTTAGTGACACCCTTATTATCTATGAGTATAACAATTCTGAGCACCGAGGGGACATTTGGTGAGAGAAACACCCTGAAGTTTCCATAGTTCATTGGCAATGCATTAAGAACCACTGTTGCTGCCTTTTGCATGTGCTCCATCCTCACGTGGCAGCGACCATCCAGGGATGCAGCATATAGTTTATTGTGAAATTTCAGGGAAAAAGGACCACATGATTCCATTTGATAATAGATCTCTGCTTCCTAACCTGGATGACCTATTTAATAATTCTTTAATATCTAGTAATTTTAAGTTGTTGTGTATTAGTACTACCAGCATTTATGAATGTTAATTTTATGGGATCACTCTGACATTTCTATTCATGGGAATAGAATAGGGGAAACACACACACACGCACACATACACACACACACACGAATTGTGTATGAGACCATATGTTTTCTTTTTAATTTAATATTTTCCTTTTAAGTTGTTGATGGCCCAAGAAGTATCTCTGTTAAGGAGGAAGAATCTGAGAGGTAGAAGAGGTTTAGGCATTTCTTTCCTTTTTTTTTTTTTTAGGCTGGGATAATATGTTAGTATAGATCATGTCCTTCTCCCAGCCACATAAAAGCTTCCCGTAGCACAGCTTTGTCAGAAAACACAGATCATCTAGTGACTACAATTTGTTTCAATTTGCATAAAGAGCAAATAGGATGATCAGAACCTGCGTGTAAAGCCGAAGTGACAACACAAAGCTATGACTTGTTCTTTGTGTTTAGACAAACTTCGCTGTCATATCTCCATGCAACACCCCAGTGGCTTAAAAATGGCAAAATTATCTGCAATTATCTCCAGCCTGCAGCTAATTTTCTGGATAAGTTAAACAGAAGCTTTGAAAAGAAGCCTGCAGACGGGAGAAGTCATGTGCGTTTGTACAATAGATGGTGTGGAAGTGCTGATGGCTATGGAAATGGGAACCCTTGAGAGCTGCTGTGGATTTCAGAGCCAATCAAAACTAAATTAGGAAACAAAGATTATTAAAAAGTCTTCTGTGCATGTAATTTTGGCATAATATTATGAGGTGGACATTAAGTGTTTCCCTTGGAGACCCCCGGCATCATTAATGCAGTGTGCCTTTAATTACAAGTAGACTCATATTACTAAGAAAATGAGAAAATAAAGTACTCGGAGGTGTAGTTAGCAATACCCTCATTATGTTTACTGAAATAATTAAAAGAAAGGGTGTAATTTTTCTAAATAAAATGTCAGAATTTGAAATGAAAATGGATTTTCTTTAGGAAATTTACTAATGGGTGCCTGCGCTCTTGATAGGCATTTATTCAAGTACCATAACAGGTCTATTAACGATCATTCCATATTGTGCTATTTCTAGATAGACTCCTATTAAGAAAAAAAAGACTTTAATTATTGCAAGCATTGTGGATAGAACATATTTCATTTTGTTCAAATGGAATTTAGGAAAGTAGTAGAAAGCCTTTGTGTTTTATGATATTGAAGGAACCCAGTGGGATGAGTGAGTGGTAATGCATAGTCACAGGGCTATCTATAACTTAAATTTCAAATTTGACATCAGCACGGGTTGCCATCTGGTGACTATCAGGTGGCCTTTGAGAAATTAATCTGACAAACTCAGTTCCATTTTCAGTGACAAGGCATTAATTTCAATTTTCCAAAAACTGGAAATGACATTGACTTATATAATAATCAAATAATCTTAAAGTATACTCTGTTCACATGAAACATAATTCAATAAATGAATGAAGTTTTAATAACAGTGATGTCTTTCAGTTGAACTGATTTATCCCTTAATTATCCCAGAATGGAATTTTTTAAAAAACTTTCAGTTCCTCCATTATTAACACTTCATTGTTTAGTTCATTATTTAGATTTATTTCTTAGAAAAGTTTAATTCACGTTTGCAATGAATTAAGTTTCATGAAGATCAGTCTTTTTGATATATCCCTGAACCAAATATCTCTTTATTGAGGAGCCTACAAGAGCTCCTTATTATCTGTTGCATCAAGTCTAAAGTACTCTACCTGGTCTTTAAATCTGGTTATATTCAACTTTATTTCCCATTACTTCCCATTGGGACCCTATGGCACGTCCAAGGGACTTATGGGTAGCTATCTGATTGGCAGAGGACTACTGCCCTTGGGTTGAAGCTCATTGGCATAGCATGCCCTGTATATGGGGGTAGGGGGGCTTGGGAGGAAGCTGGGAAAGATTGCTGTGGGTCTAACAAAACTTAAAACCAC